TATTTATGCACCATCCAAGGACACCTCATACCAATTTTGTGTGTGTTTTGAGACCATGTAGGAATTGACGATACATTATTTCTCAACCATGTGTTTTCTTGAATGGTGGTCTAGGTCTCGGGGTGAAACATCGGTAGCTCTGCCCCTCAATTAATTGACACTTACCAAATTCATACAAATGGATCTAGGGAAGCACCTTTTTTTTCAGTATCATGTTGAATTTGGACAACAAGCAACGACATTAAGTCACATTTCTTATAGTCCATGTTTTATAAGGACAATATGCAACATGCTCCTCATTAACAGTTCGGTCTCACAATATTAACTCTAATCCATATTGATACCTCTCTACCTCAACTGCATTGTGGCCCACCCCATGCAAATAACCTACTACTGGGAACCCAAGCCTATTAATACCATCAACGGCATAATGGCACTGGTTTACCGAACTCACATGGTCTAGTTGAGAATGGAGTTCAAGTTGATATAATGGCAAAGTATAGATAACTTTTTTCTTGTATGATTAGTACGTAGATATGGTATATCTGCTAAGATCAGCATAATATCATGGGTGTTTGCAAGAAATGGATATATCAATATCAGAATAGGAAGGGGGGGCTTAAGTGTTTCCCCGCTATTTTTTTGAGAACATGCTAGAGATCGGAGCGCTTGTATATTGAGATAGAAAGGAAAGTTTTCCAAAGGGGAGGGTCGATAGCGCCAAAAAAGGCAGCCCCAAAATCCCCCCATCTACCCCAAAGATACGAACTACATGATTACTCTCTATGGCTACCATTTCCTACCAATCGACTTCCACTCAGGACATTGGGATTTAATCATGTCTCTAATCACTCTAGGTAGAAGGAAGGTCTTCTTGAAAACTCTAGCGAAGGGTGCATACAATGATGAAATTGACCCCCTTCTGAAGTTGGCCCAAGGTTAGGTGCTGGAACCTAGACCACAAATTAATCAAAGGCCGGGTTTGTTGTAGCTGGAGAGATGGTATAAAATTTCCTCCCTTTTGTTGAGCTCGATGACTCGATCTTCAACCATTTAGGTTGTGATGCAGCCTAGATGTTTGCAACATTGTAGAGGTTTTGCATGATTAGTCTGCTTCAGACAAATGTGGTTATAGATGATGGGTAGATAGGCTTTTGGATTTTACTCCCCTTCTGTGTACAACGCGTGTTGTCCTCAGAGCTACGATACAATGTTGTTTTCCTCTACCTCCTTGTTTTATGTTTTTCAGACTTCCGGTTTATTCTCATCTCTTAATGCAATGCTAATGCAACAATTTCTTTGCTTACATTTAATTTTCCCCTGTGACTATATGTCCACTTTGTTTATTGTTTTTACAAGCCATTCCTGAGTCTTTTTTTTAACTCTAGCAACTAGTAAATGTTGCACTGGCATTCCCAATAGTCGGAGGGAAAACTTTTAAAAACTTATATTAGTCGGCAGAATGTAAGGCTTTGCCTCTCACATGTTCTCTCATGCTTAAGAGAGAACCTGCAGGAGATATAACAATGTAAAGGCACCCATGAACTGTTTTTAGGTAATACTCCCTCCGTTCCTAAATATAAGTCTTTGTAGAGATTCTACTAGGTGGACTACATACGGAGCAAAACGAATGAATCTAAACTTAAAATGCATCTATATACATCCGTATGCGGTTTATAGTGGAATCTCTACAAAGACTTACATTTAGGAACGGAGGAAGTATTAATTAGCCCCACGGCCTGGGAATTGGTAATTAACCACCTTCAACTAATCATGTGTGATGCTATGATTCAAAATTCAGATTTCATATCATGCTAAGAATTAATATAAAACATCAAAATTTTAAACTAGAGAAGTTAGATGATGCAATATTTTTCATATCCTTTAACACTGTCTGTAACATGCATGTGCTTTGGGATGCGTGCAAATATGATTTCTTGTCAGATATAGATTTATTGAGTGGGGGCTTGGTGTGTCTTGAGTTTGCGTTGGCTAGTCACTATGGCAGAATGGGTCTAGTTTAGATGGTAGCTAGTGAACCTGTTATTTTTGTAGTTTTCGTGGGGATTTTCTCTAGTTGCTAAATTTCTACTTGTATCGAATGGTAGAGTTCCTGCCCAAGATGGGAGAAAGTACAATCAATGGAACGGGGGCAGGACTTTTTCCGCTGGCTAAAGCTGTAGCACGTGTAACAACAAAACTCAGATAACATACCTGGACATGGTTTCATAACAAAAGAGAGAGATTAATTAGCTGAACTATTATTGTTCAAAAAAATAAAAATGTTATTGCACAATAAACCATTACACCGCTTACTTCTTTGTATATGAAAAGAAGTTACAAATTTGTATGGCACACACAGCAAGCCCACCAGCTAGTATTGCTCAACTTCCAAAGCCAAATTAAGCATATGTTTAAAGCATAAAACATTTTTAGAACCCGCGGTTAGGCTTGTCCCATAGGAAGAAGTATATCTGAAAAAACCAATAATGCACACACACACACTTCTACTAGCTAGCTATTTTGTGCTTTGGGAGAGCATTATTAAGTCCTACCTTGAGGATAAAAGTTGCAATCCATACCACCGATCGATCAGCTCCATCTTCTTCAGCATATCGATCGATCCAGCGTTGTACTAGCTAGCTAGGTGGCAGCTAGCTTCCTGTCTGGTCATGGAAAGCTCTCGCCGAGCTCAAGGATAAGCTTTGGGAGCCCAGGTCATCAACTGGGAACTGATCGGCCTCCGACGAGTAGTAAACCAGCTGATGCGACCTTGGAGCCAAGGAGAGTAACGACGGGAATGCCGAGTGGTGAGCCGCGGCGGCGGCAGCTATGGAGACCTGTGGCGAGCCAGCGCCGCTGCTCTGGTCCACACTGCTGTTATTCCATGACTCGCCGGTGAAATTGTATGGCATCCCGCTGTTGACCAGTCCCAGGGAGTTGTTGTTGAGCCCCATGAACCGGTGGTAGCCGAACCTCCCAATGTTGTGGTGAGCTCCACCGCCGTCAGCGTCGGCCCCGGCCTTGACGCCACCATCTCGGGCGAGCGTGGACGCAAAGTGGCAGAACTTGTCATCGACGTGCGGCATGAGTGGCATGGAGGAGGAGGTCATCATGTGGTCCATGAGGTCGACCTGGTGCGGCGGGAACTGGAGCGGCGGCAGCTTGTCGATCTCGTGGCGGGCCGCGTTGAGCAGCCAGTCGACGACCTTGCTGGGCTGGTTAAGGCCCAGCCGGTCCTGCAGGTCGTAGAGCTGGATCGCCGTCTGCACGGACAGCCGCACGCGCCGGTCGCGGAGACCCTTGACGGTCTTCACCTTGCTGTGGCGGTCCTTGCCGCCGAAGACGCGCGACACGCGCACTATCCGTGACTCCGTCTGCGACGACCATTGCCGCGACGTAGCCACCGCGGCCGCGTGCTTCCGCGCTAGCTCCTGCTCCTCCTCCGCCGCCGCCGCCGCCGCCGACTGCTGGTGCTGGTTGTTGCCGCTCATCATCTCACGTGACCTCCGACGACGAGGCGCATCGTCGATCGGCTTTCGATCGTCCGCTAGCTAGCTTCACCTGCCATATCACATCATCAACTCGATTAATTAACATCGCATGCAGCTGCAGGCCTGCAGCTAGCAGGGAGATTTAATGGTGTTTGTACAGGAGCAAGCCACCAATCAAGCATGCACCACCACCAGAGTCCACCACTGTGCCCGAACGGCGCGCAGGGGTCTACCGGTCGATGTGCGCCACGTACGTACTGTTCCATCGGCAACGGGGGGAATGGGATTGGGAGAGGAGAGCTTGCGCGGCAGCTTTATTCAAGCTAAACTGCATGCAACTGCTGCAGCAGGGTAGATGGAAATGGAATAACGGCATCTGTGGATGCGCAGGCCCGCGCGGCACGATCTGCATGCGGTACCAAGAGAATGATTCCATGGTTGAACATATGAATGGCCGGCCAGCCCCGCCATCAGACCTCTTTGATTGTTCTGCAGTCGAGTTATGAATCGGGGTCGTGCTACAAGTCTCACTCTCACCACTGGGCCTCTGTGAAACGAGGGGAGGGGGTTTTTGTATTGAGTGCTAGGCCGCTAGCAGCTGCTTCCTTTTCATAATCCTGCAGGCCTGTCTGTCATACACCCTAAATTACAAATTCCGTAGATTCAATTGGGATTTCTTGAACTAAAAAGTCTGTGGTGTCAGTGATTAGTACTACAAGCGATGAGAATGGGTAATTCAAACTATTCGGTTCAGATCGGGCGCTCCCACAAGGAAAAAGGAGAAGAAGAGAGAGAAAGAGAAATGGTCCTCCAGCTCGGGATCCAGTGCAGTTTTGGTTTTGATACAAGAACACTTCGGGGGAAAGGAAAATAATTTTATCAAGGACTTCAAAATTCCAAAGAATCTGTATACAAAGCGAGACGGATTAACAAATCTAGCTCAGATCCGCCGCATGAAATTCTAATCAAGGACCACCAAAAGGCACCAAAAATTTAAGAAATCCCACAAAATCCTATCAGTACGTCCGCGATCTCCAATTCCATATAGAAAAAGAATCAACAAATCAAAACAACCACGTATATATACGAGATGTGGCGGAATTAAGGAAGCACACTCACAAGAACTCCACCGAGCTTTGCTAGCTAGGCAGCTCCAGGCCCGCTGCGGCGCGCGGAGCTGCTCGGTCTCTCCGGCCAGCCAGCTCGCGGTCAGCTTCCGTAGACGAACCCTAGCTAGCTAGAAGCCAGGTAGCTTGAGAGCGGCAGCGGGAGCGAGAGCGAGCTAGCGAATTAGGATGTGGCAGTGGAGCTTGTGGTGGGTATTTACAGTACTGCCGCGACTGCATAAATGGTGGGATCGATCGATCGATCAGCAGCTAGCGTCGCTGTCGCGTGTCCCTGTCCTTTTACCACCATAGCTGTGTTGTGTTGCTCCCCCGCCTCACTTCACTGCATCCATCGATCCCCTCCCTCCACCCACCTGTACGTACGTAGCGGCGGCTGACCTGGCCACCGGCTCATAGGGCTACGTGAGCATAAATGTCATGTCCGAACTTGACGTTAATCACTTCCCCGCAAAAAAGAAGAAAAAACTTGAGCTCACGCGCGAATAAGTGTACATCTAACTTTTGTTCCAAGTCAAAATTTTAAAATTTGGACCAACTTTATAAAATACGTCTACATATATTCCCTTTTATTCATTTTGATGACAAGTATTTCCGGACGGAGGGAGTATTAACATATATGACATCATATTGGTATATTATAAAAGTACATTTCAAAACGAATCTAGTGATACTAATTTAGTGTTATAAATGCTGCTACTTTTTTCTAGAAAGTTGGTCAAAATATTAAAACTTTGACTTAAGACAAAAGCTAGATGTACACATATTCACGGACGGAGGGAGTACAACGTTATTCCTTTTCATCTTGAAATTGACCAGCAATATATGGTTATACTCACTCCTTTCTTGTTTATAGGGTCTATTTCAATTTTTTTATCATTTTTCCAATTTAAAGAGCTCATCTTCATCTTCTATTGAGATTCCGAGGCGCATTAAATATTTGCATGTAAAAATTAAAAAGAAATTCACTAATGTTCCTACTCATCTTGTGGCCAAGCATGCATGCACTATAATTAATTCAAATTAATGCATCAGTTTACTTTGGGTAGTTTTGCAAAGTACGAGATACATTCCTTCACTCACCAACTGCCTTGGTTGATAAGATTTCATATTTGAGCCCTATAAACCGGAAACAAGGGAGTATGTCAACCGGGTGTTATCCTCCTTCTCGAAAAAACCAAGTCGTTCGTTTTAGGGACACTCCTTTGATCCTCTCCGACACATCTACTAAGTCCTATTTGTTCCTATTTAGAGTTGCGAGCAGCGACTTATTTTTGCTCAAGGCATTCTTGTATGGTACGTACTACCTCTGTACCAAAAATATAAGACGTTTTTTGTAGTTTAATCTGTACTGAAAAAATATCTTATATTTTGGTACCGAGGGAAGACTATTTGGCATGAAATGATAATATAAAATATGCTTGACCTAACATTTACCCGCGCGCGCATGCATGCAGTGGCAAGGAGCGGCGAAATTTGTGTTGACATTGACATGCAACACTTGTGCCTATGGATTATGAGCACTTAGCAGCTAGCTTAGCTGGCTAGTAGCTAGCTAGCATGCCAGCCGCTTTGCCTTTTTAGAAGCTAGAATCCGAAGCTTGCAAGAGCAAGTTGTGAATTCTGCCATTTGCCAGCGTCTTAAGGCTGAAGCATGGCGAGTGCATGCACAACTTTGAGATATGTTGCTAGATTGCTTACATATTGGGCTTTCCAATATTTGGACCGGATACACTACCGCGCGCACCTTTACAAATCTTTCGACATCGAGGTCTAGGAGGCTACCTAGTTTAGACTAGGGACCATTCTTCTTTGCAGCATCAACTAGAGCAGGACCACTCCAGCTTTTATCCACAGTAAAGACATAAATTTTGGACCAAGAAAGGAGGGAAATAATCAGAGAGAATCATTTCCATGTGAGGTTGGATGAATTGATTCAGACTAGTTCATTTTCAGTCTTCACGTATTCATAAAATTTCAGTATCCAAGGATGCGCCGAGTGATGTTGCTCTTCTGGTTCCCGCCAATTCCTCTTCTATAGCTGGGGTTGTTTTTTGACTGCATTCAAGTTTCGCTCATTATAGCTCCTTTTGTTAAAAATTAGTATAAAAATTCTTGGGCGCGTGATCAAGGCCTCTTCTGTCCTAAGGAAAGCAAGCCTGCATGTTTGAGATATTAGGTTGGCCATGGTGATATCTTAGCTGGTATCATGTACTCGGGACTACCAAACACGTTGATGTGGCAGAAAATTAAAGAAGAGAGAGAGCATTAGAGTAATATAGATAGATACCGTATCATCTTTCCTACTTATAAATGTTGAAGTCGGTGGTGAGTTCATATGTGGAACCACACAAATAAACAACTGCACTACCCACATGTGAGACTATAAATTAACAAATGTTAGTTTTACTAGGTATCAGTCCTTTCCCAAATAAACAAATACATTGCTTCCCTAATGTGAGAATAATACTCTTGTAAACACCCAAATTGTAAATGCAAGTATGCCACTCCAATTTAAAATCATGGTCTTGATTTTAGTTTCTCTGCCCAACCAATTCCTTCGTTCCATGTCGCAGAAGAGGGCAAACAAATTACAATTCAACGCGACAATAGATGTTGTCCTCCTACCTAATCCACAATCTTGTGCATTCAACTTACTCACACCCATTCTCCTATGTTCCAAATTCAAAATGGTACCTCACTATAAATCTTGCAAAGGACCTACTAAGGCCGCTCAAAACTCTTTAGCGACTGCAACATGATCTCTTGTTATATCCGCGCTCACTTTTTAATTGTGAACCATGCAACAACCGCAAGACATAATCATCTTATAGTAACCTTCTAAGCCAGTGCTAATTCCTCTTTTTTATGGTTTCGGCACGGGCTACCAAACACATTGATGTGGCAGGCAATTAAAGAAGAGAGAGATGGTTAGAGTAACATAGGTAGATACCGTATCATAATAAATATTATCCTACTATGTGTCATGTACGGCAATAAATAAGATCATATATGATATTATACACTACAAAGGTAGTATTATACAGTAGTATCATATGCATGATACTTGTATTTGATACTCCCCACTACGAGTAACCTTAGGCCTCTCATGATGGGTAGTATCATAGTGCATGCGCGGTTACTAACTTCTCGTTGCATAATATCATAGCCTAATATCACAATGCCACCTTATTCATTAATTTACAGAAATAACCTCAATATAAAGTTGTGTACAAGGTGTACTTGGCATTAAATTAGCTCGTTCTGTGTGCTACTCTCTCAGTCCCAAAATAAGTGTCTTAACCTTAGTACAAAGTTGTACTAAAGTTAATACAAAGTTGAGACAGTTATTTTAGGATGGAGGGAGTATTATACTGTATCATGGTATCATCTCTCTCATCATTATTTATAGTGTCACATCATACTAATGCATTTGTAGCATTGCATGATACTTAATTATGATAAGTGGGAGAGGCCATATCCCATGCCGGAAGTGAAGGAGTTACGCTGTGAGTGCAATCGATGTGAGACGGTAGCACAGGATACATACAGCCGGTTTTGATGGCGATCCAATAATAGAATATGTGTGTAAGCATTTTGTACTATTTGTGCCAGTTGTGGCGTGTCATCATGTAAATTTTCCTTTTTTTGTACCAGAGTTGCTCGTGATATTTTGATACTTGGTTTGTTTTAACAAATGGTCGTGTGCATCACTCGATAAAATCCTCCTTTTCCAAAAAAAACTATCCAGTGTAGTATATTAGAAGAATATTAAGATTGTTCTCATCTCTTTTATGGTGATGTCGTGTGAATCCTTTAGTTTTGTGTGATGGTGTCTTACCTTCTCTTTACGAATAAATATATATGTTCTTTCTGCCT